AGAGTTAGTAAGAAGAAGTCGCTGGGAACCTGACAAGGGGCAGTTCTGGGATCGATATTCTGACAAGAGTGGTTTCAAGAGACTCAGAAAACAGCATGAAGCCACGGGTCTCTAATTTGTTCTGAAATCACGGCGGCAGCGGGAGGGGAACGCGGGGCACGGGGCGTAGGCGGATTTTTTTGTTTTATTTTATTTATTATTTTCGAGACAGAGTCTCGCTCTGTCGCCCAGGCTAGAGTGCTGTGACACGATCTCGGCTCACGGCAATCTCCGCCTCCCAGGTTCAAGCGATTCTCCTGCCTCAGCCTCCCGAGTAGCTAGGATTACAGGCGCCCGCCACCACGCCCCGCTAATTTTTGTGTTTCGGGTAGAGACAGGTTTTCACCATGTTGGCCAGGCTGGTCTGTGAACTCCTGACCTCAGGTGATCCGCCCGCCTCAGCCTCCCAAAGTGCTGGGATTACAGGTGAGCCACCGCGCCCGGCCTGGTTTGCTTTAAATAGGAAGGCTCTGTAGCACGTGTGCAGGCTGATAGGCAGGAACCAGAACACAGCGAGACGCGAAGTACGGAAGAGGGAGAGACTACAGGGGCAAAGCTCGCGAGCAGACGGGGGACGGGTCCCGGCAGAACTAGAGTAAAGGAAGATCGGGCTGCGCTCGAGCCCGCAGCTGACGTCTTCGGAGCCGCGGCCCCCTGGGAGAGCGCGGCGGACGGAGGGTCATTACCCTGACTGGAGAGAGGGCGGAAGCTTCCGGGAGGAAGTGACCTTTGGGCTGGGCTCTGGGGACCAGCTGAGAGGGAAGGCGAGCGGCGAGCAGGGCGGGACAGGCGGTTTACTGAGGCAGAGAGGAGCGCCGCTCCCGACTGCGGCTCAACTTACATCTTGTCCTTCTGGTGCTGTCGCTTCCCCATGGCGGCGCGGCGGCGGCGACTACCGAGCACGAAAAAGCAACCGCTGACCACTCAGACCATGGAGCCACGGCCGAGTTTCGAGACCACTTCCGGGTTCCGCGGCTCGCTCCGGAAACAGGCGCTTGGCGTGCTGGGAATTGTGGTTCGCTAGCGCCAGGTGCGCATGCTCGGAAGGATAGCCTGCCCAGTATGGGGTCTTAGTGTGTTGTGTCTCGCTGGCGCCTTCTCGGGGCAGAGCTCCCTCAGCCTCGAAGCCCCATCTTCTCGAAGGGTCTCTCCCGACCGCCTCGTCTACCCACCTCAGCCACGGCTCAGGGCCATTCCCATACTGGGTTCTCAGGTCTTATTTTATTTTCGAGACAGGATCTCGCTCTGTCGCCCAGGTTGGAGTGCAGTGGCGCAATCACAGCTCACTACAGCCTCGACCTCCCAGGCTCAAGCGATTCTCCCACCTCAGCCTTCTGAGTAGCTACGGGCACGCGCCACCACACCTGGCTAATATGTTAATTTTTTGTAGAGACAAGCTCTTACTATTTTGCCCAGGCTGGTCTGGAGCTCTTGAGCTCAAGCAGTCCTCCCGCCTTGGCCCCCCAAAGTGCTGGGATTACAGGCCTGAGCCTCCGCGCCCGGCCAGCGCTCAGGTCTTTTTCAGTGTCCTCCTAGAGCTTCAAGTCTCATGAGCCTCCACCCCATCCATTCCCGCCTCCGTGGCCGACTCCTTCAAAGCCATGTACCACCCTCGTTCTACTCGCTCACTTTTCATTCTCTCTGCATATTCCGTCCGCACCGCCTCCAGGCCCCTTGGAGGCCCAGCAGCAGGTGGCAATCAAGCCTAGAGGTCCAAAACGCTGCCTGATCCCTTCCTTCTCTTCTGCCAGACTCTTGCCTTGGGTCAGAACAGTACCTTGGGCCCCCAACTACACTCAGACCCGGGGTAATCTTGCCTAGGCTCCTAATTGTAAACGCCACTTATATCCCATGACTCCCAGTACTAAGTCACCAGCACTCCAGGCTCCTGATCTCCACTTGGGTAGCCGCTGATCTCAAATTCAACATGTCTGGACGGGCGTGGTGGCTCACACCTGTAATCCTGGCACTTTGAGAGGCTGAGGCAAGCGGATCACTTGAGGTCAGGAGTTCAAGACCAGCCTGGCCAACATGGCGAAACCCTGTCTCTACTAAAAATACAAAAATTAGCCGGGTGTGGTGGCGGGTGCCTGTAGTTCCAGCTACTGATGAGGCTGAGGCAGTGAGAATCACTTGAACCCAGGAGGCAGAGGTTGCAGTGAGCCAAGATTGTGCCTGTAATCCCAGAGTTTTGGGAGGCCGAGGCGGGTGGATCACGAGGTCAGGAGATGGAGACCATCCTGGCTAACATGGTGAAATCCTGTCTCTACTAGAAATACAAAAAATTATCCGGGCGTGGTGGCGGGCACCTGTAGTTCCAACTACTCGGGAGGCTGAGGCAGGAGAAAGGCATGAACCTGGGAGGCGGAGCTTGCAGTGAACGGAGACGCTTCAGTGCACTCCAGCCTGGGGGACAGAGTGAGACTCCATCTCAAAAAAAAAAAAAAGAGGCCAGGCGTGGTGGCTCACGTCTGTAATCCCAGCACTTTGGGAGGCCGAGACAGGCGGATCACAAGGTCGTGAGATCGAGACCACCCAGGCTAACACGGTGAAACTCCGTCTCTACTAAAAATACAAAAATTATCCGGGCGCAGTGGCAGGCACCTGTGGTCCCGGCTACTCGGGAGGCTGAGGCAGGAGAATGGCATGAACCCAGGAGGCGGAGCTTGCAGTGAGCCGAGATTGCGCCACTGCACTCCAGCCTGGGTGACAGAGCGAGACTCCGTCTCAAAAAAAAAGAAAAAAACAGTTAAGTAAATGATGTTTCACCCATTTGATGGAGTATTTTGCATCTGTTGTTATTGGTGAAATTAAAGATTCATTATTATTTTTTGAGATGGAGATCAAGACCATCCTGGCCAACATGATGAAACCCCATCTTTACTAAAAAAAAATTAATAATAATAAATTAGCCAGGCGTGGTGGCGGGCACCTGTAATCCCAGATACTCGAGAGGCTGAGGCAAGAGAATCACTTGAACTTGGGAGGGGGAGGTTGCAGTGAGCCAAGATGGTGCCATTGCACTCTAGCCTGGGCAACAGGAGCGAAACTGTCTCAAAAACAACCAAAAAAGCCAATTTGGTAAGATTTCCATAGCTAAAATGAGTATCTTCTTACAGCCTTGAAAGTACAGGATTTTCGGCTGGGCACGGTGGGTCACGCCTGTAATCCCACCACTTTGGGAGGCCGAGGCGGGTGGATCATGAGGTCAGGAGATGGAGACTATCCTGGCTAACACGGTGAAACTCCGTCTCTACTAAAAATACAAAAAATTAGCCGGGTGTGGTGGCAGACACCTGCAGTCCCAGCTACTGGGGAGGCTGAGGCAGCAGAATGGCGTGAACCCAGGAGGTGGAGCTTGCAGGGAGCTGAGATCACACCACTGCACTCCAGCCTGGGCGACAGAGCAAGACTCCCTCTCAAAAAAAAGAAAAAAGAAAGAAAATAAAACACAGGATTTTCATTAATTTGGGTTTTTTTTTGTTTTTTGTTTTTTTTGAGACAGGGTCTCATTCTGTTGCCCAGGCTGGAGTGCAGTGGCGTGATCATATATCACTGCAGCCTCAACCTCCTGGGCTCAAACAATCCCCCAACCTCAGCCTCCCAAGTAGTTGGGACTACAGGCACATGCCACCAGGCCCGGCTAATTTTTTAAAAATTTTTGTAGAGATAAGGTCTCACTAAGTTTCCCAGGCTGGTCTCGAACCCCGGGGCTCAAGCGATCCTTCTGCCTCAGCCTCCCACGTAAACTGTGACTACAGGCATATGCCACTACATCTGACCAACTTTGGGCTTTTTGATAGGTATATAACACTCATCCTAGCTATCTTAACATGTACATCTTTCATTACTAAGAGAGTCAAAAACACTTTTTAATGCTTTGCTTACTCCTTGGATGTCCTCTTGGGTAAACTTTCTCTCACCTAGAATTTTTTTTTTTTTTTTTTTTTGAGACGGAGTCTCACTCTGTTACCAGGCTGGAGTGCAGTGGCGTGATCTCAGCTCATTGCAACCTCCGCCACCTGGGTTCAAGCAATTCTCCTACTTCAGCCTCCCAAGTAGCTGGGATTACAGGTGTGCACCACCACACTCAGCTAATTTTTGTATTTTTAGTAGAGACAGAGTTTCACCATGTTGGCCAGGATGGTCTCGGTCTCTTGATCTCGTGATCCACCCACCACGGCCTGCGAAAGTGCTGGGATTACAGGCATGGGCCACTGCACCTGGCCCCTAGATTTTTTTTTTTTTTAATTAGAAGTTTTTGAGACAGGGTCTCACTCTGTCCTCCAAGCTGGAGTGCAGGGGGGTGATCACAGGTCACTGCAGCCTCCACCCCCTGGGCTCAAGCGATTCTCCCACTCACGCCTTCCAAGTAGCTGGGACTACAAGGTGTGCACCACCATGCCTGGTTAATTTGAACACCTGAGCTCAAGTGATCCCCCATCTCACTCCTCCCAAATTGCTGGGATTATGGGATTACAGTAGTGTGCCACCATGCCTGGCCAGAAATCTGAATTGTCTTTTTTTTTATTGAGATGGAGTCTCGCTCTGTCGCCCAGGCTGGAGTGTAGTGGTGCAATCTCGGCTCACTGCGAGCTCTGCCTCCCGGGTTCACGCCATTCTCCTGCCTCAGAGTAGCTGAGACTACAGGTGCCCGCCGCGACACCTGGCTAATTTTTTTGTATTTTTAGTAGAGACGGGGTTTCACCATGTTAGCCAGGATGGTCTCGATCTCTTGACCTCGTGATCCACCCGCCTCAGCCTCCCAAAGTGCTGGGATTACAGGCATCAGCCACTGTGCCCAGCCAAGTCCCCTGAATTCTTATTCACTGCTGAATGCAAAATGGTACAGTCACTTTGGAAGATAGTTTGGTTATCGTACCCTATGATTCAGCAAGCATGCTCCTTGGTATTTACCCAAATGAGTTGAACAGTTATGTCCAGTCTGAAACCTCCACACAGATGTTTATAGCTGCTGTATTCATAATTGCCAAAACTTGGAAGCAACCAGGATGTCCTTCACTGGGTGAATGATAAAATGTGGCATATCCAGGCAATGGAATATTATTCAATGCTAAAAAAGATGAATGGCCAGGTGTGGTGGCCTAACTGCCTGCACCTCTTGATTCCCCACTTAGCCTGTGTGACTCATTCAGGGCTGGCCTCCACCTCCAGGCAGTCCTCCATCCCCCAGGCTGGGTTAAGACCTCCTTAGTTCCCAGCGCCCCCAATCCCATCTCCTGTACCCCTAACCAAGCTCAAGGTAGGCACAAGAGATGGTCCCAATGTGTCTGCCGAGTGAATGAAAGCCACGTCATTCTTATGGCTCTTCTATAAGGTACTTTTCTTTAACTGAGGCCAACAAACTCGTCCTGAGATTTCCTTTCTATCCTCCAAGCGTAGAATTTGAACATTTCAAGATCTGAAGTGAAATTAAACTGGAATGGCCTGTCACGAAATGCAAGGAGGTCGAAGGGGTTTACTCTGGGCTTGAGGGAAATGAAAAAGGAGCATTTTGGGGAGTGTCCCATGTGCCAGGCTCAGTCACCATTTCTTCTCAATCTGTTAGTTAATCCTCACAATCATCCTGAGTGCTTATTCTCATTTTACAGGGGAGGGGTGTGGGCTCAGAGGTCGACTGTGTGGGCAGTACTGTGCCCATGCTGTAGAACTGTACATGAGGTGTGGAGGGGCCTGGGGCTGACGTCCCCTCTCTGCCCTGTCTTGCAGCCACATGGTTGATCTGACTCCTTTGGTTCTCAACCCTGGAGGCTTCCATTTCTCATATGTGGCTGGAAACAGCATGCCCAAGCTCCATCGCCCTGGCTTCCCCTGGTAAGCCTGCCTCTGCACCTCCCTGGGGCCAGACGCCATCCTGGCTCTAACCCAGTACACTGCAGGCAGAGGATAGCACGGGGAGCCATGCCCATAGGGAGAGGCAGGACTGGTGCTGGAGATGTGGGAGGGGCCCTCTGGTTTTCCACCTGTCCTTTGGGAGCCCCAGGATCCTGTCTGGTGCGCCTGGGGCTGCCTTGCTTGCCTAAAGTCAAGAAGGTGGAGCCCCTTGGTGCCTTCAACCTCACCCAACGCCTTAACCAGGGCAAACCCCGTTTATCTGCTTTATCCATCAAGACCCTGTCTGCAAAGAGGGGTCTGCTGCTTAAAAGCAGAGGGTTGAGAGCCACAGCTTCAGGCCCAGGAGAGACCCTGGGATTGTTCTGAGCAGGGGGCACCCAGGACTGCCTGGAGTGGGGGAGGCTCCCACTGACTAACTTGCAGGGCAGTGGAGGGAAGGAACCAAGGACCCTAGGCATAGTGTAGACAGGGGGTGACGGGGTCACCACGGAGACCATGGTGGTGGCAGTGGCAGAGGTGGCAGCGGGGTCGGTGGCAGGCATGGGGAAGTCGACCGGTCCCGTAAGAGGATGCGTTCTGGTTTCTTCTGTCTTGGCTTCCTTCTCTTCTTGGTGTCTGCAACAAAAGGTGCCAGTGAGTGCCTACCTTGCAGCCAGAGTAGAGTGGGAGCCAGACACAGTGGTGTGGGGTCTTCATGCAGTTCCTCCAACAAGAAAGGGAGGGAGGCCCCAAAGAGCACCATGAACAATGCCCAGAGCCACTGCTGACAGGCACCAACACGCCCCATCTCACCAACCTCACCTTGGGGGGCTACAGGTGCTGCTGGTCCAACAATCAGTGGAGGGCTCACTCTCAGCCCCCCAGAAAGTGGGACCCCCAGGCAAACTGGGCCTCCCCATGTAACACAGAAGTGAGTAGCCCCACACTAGTGTAGGCACCCGCGAACACAAATATACCGAAGGAACTGAGGCTGAATCCAATCGAGCTTTAGAGCAACTGTCCAAGAAATGCAGGCAGAGGAGGAAGCAAGCCAGCAGCAGACCATAACAGACGCAAACCCAGGAAGTGGAACTTGCCAGAGGATGACACCAGATGGGCTATCCCTCCTCAAAGGGGACTTCAACAGAAGTGGCCAAGGACCCAGGGCCATCCCAATGTACATTTGCTGCCCGTGTGGCCACATATGTAGCCCCCTTTCATTTCATTCTCACAAGGGTCCCAATTTAGACACTAATTATACAATCACCCTAGTTAAAAGGAACCTAAGAGGCCTAACAGCCAAACATTATGAACGTGTGAGTCTCACTGGGTCTTTCTAGAAAGACTTTTGTGGCCCATTTAGGAGAGGTGACTATGACCAGCTTATGTCAGAGAACTGTTGTCAATTATGTAAAGTGTAACAATGACGTTGTGATTATGTCAGCAAATGTTTGTTTTTGTAGTTGTCCCTTTATAGAGACAGGGTCTCACTCTGTATTGCCCAGGCTGGAGCACACTGGTGTGATCATAGCTCACCATAACCTCAAACTCCTGGGCTCCAGCTATCCTCCTGCCTCAGCCTCCCAAGTAGCCAGGACTACAGGCATGTGCCACCACACCTGGCTATTTTTAAAAAGTTTTCGGAGAGACAGGGTCTTGCTGTGTTGCCCAGGCTGGTCTCCAACTCCTAGGCTCAAGAGATTCTCTTACCTCAGCTTCCCAAAGTGCTGGGTTTACAGGCATGAGCTACTGTGTCCAGCCAAATGCCTTTTTTTTTTTTTTTTTTTTTTTTGAGATGGAGTTTCTCTCTTGTTGCCCAGGCTGGAGTGCAGTGGTGCGATCTCGGCTCACTGCAACCTCTGCCTCCTGGGTTCAAGTGATTCTTCTGCCTCAGCCTCCCGAAGTAGCTGGGATTGCAGGCACACCCAGCTAATTCTTCTGTATTTTTAGTTGAGACGGGGTTTCACCAATTTGGCTAGGCTGGTTTTGAACTCCTGACCTCAGGTGATCCACCCACCTCGGCGTCCCAAAGTGCTGGGATTACAGGTGTGAACCACAATGCCTGGCCTTTTTTTTTTTTTTTTTTTTAAATTAAGATGCATTCTAAAGTAGTCAGAGGTACAGTGATGTCTGAGATTTCCCTTCAAATACTTCAGAAAAAGGCCTAGGGTTATGGAGAGTGAAACACATTTGGCAAGATGGGGACAGTTGCTGAGGCTGATGACAAGTTCTTGGGGGTGTTCCCTGTCATCTCCAGTTTTGTATATGTTTACTTTAATAATAAAAAGTGCTTTTTTTAAGTGCCAAACACAGGGCCAGAGACAAGCCACAGGGCCACAAGAAGGGCATGGTTAGTCAGTGCCAGGACTCTCTCAACTTTCTTTTTTTTTTCTTTTTTGAGACGGAGTCTCACTCTGTTGCCCAGGCTGGAGTGCAGTGGCACTATCTCAGCTCACTGCAACCTCCGCCTCCCGGGTTCAATCAATTCTCCTGCCTCCACACCCGGCTTTTTTTTTTCAATTGAGTCAGGTTTGCTGGGTTGCTTGAGCCAGGCCCTACCTGCAGGTCTTCATCCACCACTCCAAAACACTCACCAAGATGAGCAATGAGGGCTCTCTCTCTCTCGGGAAGGCAGCCCACCCTGCTCAGGATCACACAGCCAGGAAGTAGCAAAGCAGAAGTCAGTCTCCTAACTAAATAATCTAGCTAGGGGCCGGGCGCAGTGGCTCATGTCTATAATCCCAGCACTTTGGGAGGCCAAGGCGGGCGGATCACAAGGTCAGGATATCGAGACCATCCTGGCCAACATGGTGAAACCCCGTCTCTACTAAAAATACAAAAATTAGCTGGGCGTGGTGGCGAGCGCCTGTAATCCCAGCTACTTAGGAGGCTGAGGCAGGAGAATCGACTGAATCCAAGAGGCAGAGGTTGCAGTGAGCCGAGATCAGTGCCATTGCACTCCAGCCTGGGTCACAGGGCAAGACTCTGTCCCCCCCAAAAAAAAAAAAAAGAATCTAGCTAGGGGCAGCGCCTCTCCTCCCAGGTCGGGATTGCCCAGGCCCCTTCCTGCTCTGGATAAAACTTGGTCCAAGGAGGGCAAATCCAACCGAAAGAGTGGAGGTGGTCATCTAGCCCTCCGCCTGGCTGCATTGGGCTCAGACCCCCCGCAGGGCCCAGCACTGGCAGAGGTTGATCCTCACCCCGGGAGTAGGGGTGCACGCGGTGTATGCTCTGCTTCAGCTGCTCCACCCTCTCGTGCATCTCCAGGGCGCCCGTGCTGTTGCAATGGTTCAGCTCCCCCTGCACAACACTTCGCCTGCAACAAGAGTGGGAGAGGCAGGACAAGGGGAGGTCCGGGGCGTGAGATGCCTGCCCGCTCCACTCACCAGGCTGTGCAGCCTCGGTTTTCTGATAGATCCTACCCTGCGGCCCCAGCTACGCCGACTGCTACCTCTCCACCCCACCCCTAAAGCTCCAATTGTCACAGCTCTGCCCTAGGGGACGGCGGACCCGGGTAGTGACAGTTCCCACCCAGTCGGTCCCAGGCCCCGCGGCCGCACCCAGAGAAAAGAGAGGAGCCCACGCTGTTCCAATTGCACCACCCTCTCCGCCAGCGACGGGTTGCGGTCGAGAGTGCAGCGCGCGCTCAGTGTGGTGTCCACCTGCCTCTCCAAGTCTTCCTCGGAGATTTGCTGGCAGAAGGTTTCGCTCTGCGGGACCTCGCTGTCGAACTCGTCTAGGATCTCCATGGCGAGCGCTGGAGAGCCCTGGCGGCCTGGGAGCGGAGCAGCCGTCTGGGCGGGGCTCCCGAGAGTCTCGGCGCGCTGACCGCCACCTGCCCCGAGGCCGGAGCGCACGGTCACCAAGGGCAGCGGGGGTCTTGTGGGACCGCAGGGACTAATCGTCTCTCACTTCTGCCGCCGCACAAGTGCGGACTCTCTAGCCTACTGCAGCTGCCCCGCCCCGGCCCGCCCCAGCCAATCCCCGCGGAAGCCAGGGGCGGAGCCAAATCCCGGGCGCCGGCCGTACGTGACAATGCCAGTTGCTCTGGGCACGCGCGCTCACGACCTCGAGGGGGCGAACGCGGCTGCGCGGGTCCTGGCCCAGTTCTGCAGGGGCCATCGGGCCTTTGACCTGGGCCCGGCTCTTGGCAGCGCCGAGGACGTGGTTGGTCAGCAACTTCTTTAAGGCCCCCACCTCTCCGCAGGCCTCCAGTCCCCTCCGACGGGGGCCCCTCCTCGCTGTCTGTACCCTCCCGGGCCTCAAGCAGCGCTTCCCCCTTATGCAGGCAACGCCTCGAGAACTTCGCTCCGCCCCTAACCCCTCTAGTTCCGACTTCTCACCCTCCTCTCTCCCCCTCACTCTCCAGCGGCCTCCCCAGCTTCTGTCCTCTCCTCCTCTTTACAGCCGCTTGTTTGCTCAGTACTTGCTGTCACTTCTTTACCAGCATCTCTGGCCCCTCCTCAGTGTCCTGTTCCTCCTGTTCCACCTCACGGTCCTTTTCCTCTTGCCCCTCGAATGCGTTTCTGAAGGTCCTGGCTTCACCGTCTCATCTGGGACAATCTTACACACTTCTTGGTCCTAATTAGAACCCATAACTGACTGAAAAACCCACCTACTGTGTCTCATCCTTCAGCTCCAGACCCACATCCAAATGACCACTGGGGACAATTCTTGGACATCTCATGCTGAACATATCCACATTCACACACAGGTTCTTCCCCCTGAAAGCTACTTTTCTTACCCTTCCCCACTCCTACTTGGTCAGCCACTGACCCCAGCCACTAACGAGGGGGTGCACCCTGGACTGCATCCTCCCTTGTCCTCTCCTTGTCCCCCATCAGCCCTGAGATCCATGGAGTGTGCCTGAGACGTCTAATCAGATTTTTCTTCTCCTACTGCTAAACCACCAGCCCTCAGCTCTCCCAACATAGGAAGTGGCATTTGTTTCCTCCTACTTGGGGACAACCAAACAATGAGGTCCTGAGCATCTTGTCTAGGAGTGCAGGCAGAGACTCGGTCAGGTACACCTGGACTCAAATCTCTATTCTACTTCCTGCCCGGTGTGACTTAAAAAATGATTTTTTTTTTTTTTGAGATGGAGTCTCGCTCTGTCGCCCAGGCTGGAGTGCAGTAGCACTATCTCGGATCACTGCAAGCTCCACCTCCCAGGTTCAAGCCATTCTCCTGCCTCAGCCTCCCGAGTAGCTGGGACTATAGGCGCCCGCCACCACACCCCACTAATTTATTTTTGTATTTTTAGTAGAGAAGGGGTTTCACCATGTTAGCCAGGATGGTTTCGATCTCCTGACCTCGTGATCCGCCTGCCTCAGCCTCCCAAAGTACTGGGATTACAGGCGTGAGCCGCCGCGCCCAGCCAACAAAATGAAACTTTAAAATCTATAGTATGTGCCTTTCTTTTCTTCTTTTCTTTTCTTCTCTTTTCTTTCTCTCTTTTTTTTCCTCTTTCTTTCTTGTCGGAGTCCCACTCTATCGCCAGGCTGGAGTGCAATGGCACAATCTCGGCTTACTGTAACCTCTGCCTCCGGGGTTAAAGAGATTCTTTTGTGTGAGCCTCCAGAGTAGCTGGGACTACAGGCGTGCACCACCACATGCAGCTAATTTTTGTATTTTTAGTAGAGGCGAGGTTTCTCCATATTGGCCAGGCTGGTCTTGAACTCCAGACCTCAGGTGATCTGCCCGCCTCGGCCTCCCAAAGAGCTAGGATTACAGGCCTGGCCAGTATGTGCCTTTTTTCTTTTTTTTCTTTCTTTTTTTTTTTTAAAGACAGAGTCTCGCTCTCTCGCCCAGGCTGGAGTGCAGTGGCATGATCTCCGCTCACGACAAGCTCTGCCTCCCGGGTTCACACCATTCTCCTGCCTCAGCCTCCCAAGTAGCTGGGACTACAGGTGCCTGCCACCACACCTGGCTAATTTTTTGTATTTTTAGTAGAGACGGGGGTTTCACTGTGTTAGCCAGAATGGTCTCAATCTCCTGACCTCGTGATCCACCTGACTTCCTCCCAAAGTGCTGGGATTACAGGCGTGAGCCACTGCCCCCAGCCCGTGCCTTTTTTCATACAGGACAAGCACTCCCTTGAGGGTCGAGCAGATCCCTAATCACCCTTCCATCATGTCATTCTAATAACCCATGCTTCACACTTTATACCTTTATTTATATTTTTTAAAAGTGTAGGCCAGCACAGTGGCTCACGGCTCCCAGCACTTCGAGAGGCCGAGGCAGGTGGATCACCTGAGGTCAGGAATTCGAGACCAGCCTGGCAAACATGGCCAAACCCTGTCTCTACTAAAAATACAAAAAATTAGCCTGGTGTGGTGGCACATTCCTGTAATCCCAGCTACTCGGGAGGCTGAGGCAGGAGAATCACTTGAACCCAGGAGGCAGAGGTTGTGGTGAGCCGAGATCGTGCCATTGCACTCCAGCCTGGACAACAAGAGCGAAACTCCATCTCAAAAAAAAAAAAAAAAAAAAGGTATTGGGCCCCTCCTCTTTGTTCAGGTACTGCCAAGAGATTTTTTTCTTTTCTTTTTTTTTTTCAGACAGAGTTTCCCTCTTGTTGTCCAGGCTGGAGTGCAATGGTGCAATCTCAGCTCCCTGCAACCTCTGCCTTCTAGATTCAAGTGATTCTCCTGCCTCAGCATCCCAAGTAGCTGGGATTACAGGCATGCGCTACCACACCAGGCTAATTTTTTGTATTTTTAGTAGAGACGGGGTTTGGCCATGTTTGCCAGGCTGGTCTCAAATTCCTGACCTTAGGTGATCCACCCACCTTGGCCTCCCAAAGTGCTGGGATTACAGGCATGAGCCACTGCACCTGGCCAGAGAGATTTTTTAAATGACAGTTGTCTCTGTCCTCAGGGGCTCCCAGTCTAATGGACACTTCTGCCACAGGGAGAAAATTTTGATTTAGGCTGGGCGCGGTGGCTCACACCTGTAATCCCAGCACTTTGGGAGGCCCAGAAGGGCAGATCATGAGGTCAGGAATTCAAGACCAGCCTGACCAACATGGTGAAACCCTGTTTCTACTAAAAATACAAAAATTAGCCGGGTGTGGTGGTGTGCACCTGTAGTCCCAGCTACTTGGGAAGCTGAGGCAGAAGAATCGCTTGAACCTGGGAGGCAGAGGTTGCAGTGAGCCGAGATTGTGCCACTGCACTCCAGCCTGGGTGACAGAGCAAGACTCCATCTAAAAAAAAAAAAAATGGATTTAACAGGCTGTGCTGCAGGAACATTCAATGCTGTGGAGCCCAGGGAAGGCTTCCACAGGGAAGAAGCCCATGAGCAGAGCCCTGAGTTCAGTACCCCCCAGCAAGAGCAGGAGACAGTTGCATGGGGGTCTCCAGCCAGTGGGTACAGAATCTGTACAGGACTGAGGGGTGGCCACCAGCCATGGCCCCTGGTGCCTAGAGGAAGGGAGGATGGATCTAGGTCAAATGACCCTGGGATCAAGGAACCCCAAGGGATCAGGACTAGGAAGGCAAGGAACATGTGTTATTGCCCCTGTTCTGCCCACGGGTGCCAGGACTTCTCTCCCCAGGATAGGGGTAAAGCAGTTTCCCAATGTGCCCAGCTAGGGGTGAGGGGAACTCCCAAAAGCCCATCTGGAAACCTAGTCCTCTAAAGATTTGAGGCCAGGCATGGTGGCTCACGCCTGTAATCCCAACACTTTGGGAGGCCGAGGAGGGAGGACCACGAGGTCAGGAGATTGACACCATCATGGCCAACACAGTGAAACCCCATCTCTACTAAAAATACAAAAAAGTAGCCAGGCATGATGGCACATGCCTGTAATCCCAGATACTTGGGAGGCTGAGGCAGGAGAATCGCTTGAACCCAGGAGGTGGGGGTTGCAGTAAGCCAAGATTGTGCCGCTGCACTCTAGCCTGGGTGACAGAGTGAGACTCCATCTAAAAAAAAAAAAAAAAAAAAAAAAAGATCTGAATGACCGTCACTGGGCACATAGAAACCTTTTGCAGTGTGTCAGGTCTGATGGTAGAGGTGGTCATCCAAGCATGCCTGGGGTCAGGCTCCTTGGAAGTTCAGCTCCAACCCCTCATTCCAGCCGGGATGGTTGGCATACTAGACACTTAGTCCCTCCTGCAGGTTCAGGGCACACCTCTCTGTAAGAGAACAAACTGGCATGGTTGGTAGGCATCATTTGCAGGCTTTGTATCCCAAGTCCACCCATCCATCTCACATAATACCACTCCAGCTGAGTCCAGATATGACTGATGCCCTGGCGTGAAGGCTGCCTCCTGGAAGGCCTGCCTTACCCCCACCTCCCCAACTGCTACCCAGAAGAACATTCTCTCCAGAGACTGGGTCCAAGCCAGGCCCAGAATGATCTTCCATGCAAAGGAGTGGGCCTGTATTTCCCCTAAGACCCTGATCAGGTCTGGAGTCCCAGTCTTACCCCAGGGACCCAATGTGGAAAGACCTTCAAACAAGAGCTTTTCAGAAGCTGGAGGGGTCTTCTCCTGCACCTGTCCAGCCATGACCAGGATGGAGAGTTTAGGGATGATCCTCCAGCTCTGCACCCACCTGATCCTCTGATGGAGGGTCCAGTCCAGCTGCATATCTGTGCCTAACCAGTGGAAACACTTACCCTCTGGGCACCTCAACTTTCTCAACTGAAAAGTGGAGTGAGGCAGCAAGCTCCCTTTCCCCTTCCCAGGGTAGCAGGCCGGACCTGACCGATGCCCTTTCATCATTGCACTGCTTCCCAGTGGCCCACAGTAGTGCAACAGGGAAAGAGTGTCGGGCAGGCCTGCCAGTGCCTCCCACAGGGTGGTCTGTAGGGATCTGAGACCTGGAATGCAGGCTGGCTGGGGCGGGGCCTCTGCCTGGGGGAAGGGTGCCCTCTGACCCCAGAGGCCCAGGCCTGGCTAGAATCTCAAGTTTCCATGGAGAAGGGAGCGAACTGGGCAGGGGGGAGGGGAGGGCCTGCAAGCCCAAGAGGCCCTGCCTGGGGAGTGGGAGGTGAGGGTTGTAGGGAGGGAGATCCCCAAGGCTGGTCCCAGATGCTTTGACAATATCATTGCACTGCTTCTCAGAGCACAGTAGTGCAACCTCGTCAGAGCACCTGCGGTCAGCAGGGGGGACCCCACCACCCCCAATACATACATGGCGGGAAGCTCAACCATGGATAGGTGGGTGGGGCCAGAGCCCCCGTCCAGTCCCTCTGGGCAGGGAAGGAGGCCGCAGCGGGGTGCGTCCTTGGGGTCTTCAGAACCCAGGACACCCAGGCCTTTCCCAGAACGCTCCGGATTCAGGTGGAGAAGAAACCCCAGACTAGGGGGTAGTTCCAGTCCCGGAGCAGGAGCTGATGGGCCACGCAGGGGAGGGGGCGCACACACAAAGACGGACCCGCGTTCAGCCGCAGTCCAAAGCCGGCTAGCGCCCGGAGCGGGGTGGGTACAGCCCGACGACCCTGCGCCCTGACTCAGTCCGCGGCTCCAGGAGAAGAAGGGCGGCCCCACCCCGGGACGACGCGCTCTTTCTAGCTGACGACCCCATCCCTTCCCTGGCCCCTTACCCTGCACTACATAGGCTCCGGGTTCTGTTCTAACATATTCTTCTGCCTGGAGGCCCAGAGCGGAGCAGAGGATGGGGGTCCCCACCCTTCTAGAGTTCCCTGTTCCAAAGAGGGCGCCCAGGATCCTGGCCGCGCCCCTCCGCCTGACCCGCCGGGTAGGGCCGCCCAGCCCAACCCAGGATCCTCTCCTTAGACCCAGCTACTCACGCAGACATCCCTTCCGCCCAGGGCCGGGTCAGGACGCGGAGGGTTAGATGGAGGAGGATCCCGGCCATCGTCTGCCCCTGGGTCCCCAACCAGACGACCCTGTACCTCGTGGCGGCCCCTCGCCTGCCGGCTCCATCTTTAACCCGCTGACAGTCGGAGGGGCCGGGCCCCCGACTCCTTAGCATAGCGCCGAACTCATTGGCCGGCGCTGGCGCGGGGATTCGCCTCCTGCACGCCTATTGGCTGAGACGGGAGCGATTTCAAAATAGCCTCCGGGCTCCCATTGGCCCGGCGCCGGCCGAGTCTCGGGCTCCGTGGTTTTAACAATGAGTTTTACAAACACTTTTTCCCCATTCATA